GCATATTGGATGGAATGCCCGTCCGGTTCAGCCGATGTCCCAGATGCAAGTCCATGAGGGTATTTTCTGGCAAGTCACTGCCCCGCAGGAGCCATCGCACTGGATATATCAGATGAAGGACGGTGACATCCTCATTGCAAAGCTGGATGGACACAAGGATGCTCCGTTGCCGAGCACGACAAACATCATTGCATCCAAGAAGACCATCACAACGCTTGCTCAGAGTCACCAAGACGCCTCCGCTGACCCTTGGCTGCATTCCGATCCATGGCAGTCATATAGCAAGCCACGCAAGACACCAGGGCAGCCGGTGCCCACTGTTGCGATGCCAAGCCAGTTGGCAGCGCTCGAACAGCGCATTGAGCAGAAGATCATGGCAGCCAAACACGAGCCGCCGACGAATTCCATGCACACTGACCAAACAGCACGCATCGAGGCATTGGAATCTCAAGTGAATTCCCTCACCCACAGTGTATCGACATTCCAGAGCCAGCAAGTCAAAGTGAATCATCAACTGGCCAGTCAGTTGCAAGGCTTCGAGGGGCGTATCGACGCCAAGCTTGACGACCAGATGCAGCGTATCGAAGCGCTGCTTTCCAAGAAACAGCGCCATGAGTGACTAGGGGTCGCTCGAGGCCGGGGAGATAGACATCCTGCAGTGGCCGCTTGCCATTCGAAGCAGTCGCAAGCATGCCTACTGCAGCCAAATTCATTTCGTCACAGGCACGGTGCGCAAATCCGTCCTGAAGGGTTCACGATCCGACATAGTGATCACAACATGCACCACGTCCAGCCTTTTTCGTTGACTCGTGGCAGACAGCAGCAGAGTGGAGTCAAAAACATGCTTCGCTTCTTTGTTTTGTTAATGTTTGTGTTTCGGTTCGGGGAAGCTAGTCACCCAGGACCCCCTTGTTCTGGTTTTGTCTTAGGGCTGCTCAACCCCACTGGTCTGCTTCACAAGTCGGACTTAATTAATCAATTACCGCAAGGATCGCAGGGAACAACTTGGCTTGTCTCGGAAACACACCTAACCCAGCCTGGCTGTGAACAGTTCAAGCGGGCCCTCAAGCTCTCCAAGAGCCCATATAAGTTGTTGCATGGAGATACAGTGCCCCCCAAACAACAGCACCAATCGCTCCATGCTGTGCGGGGCAAAGAAAAGGGGGTTGGGTTTCTCACCAGTGCACCTGGCCGAGCGCTTATGCATTCATGGCCTTCCGATATTGCTCCGCAAAATCGATGCCATGTAGCGGGTTTTCAATATGGTCAGCAATGGCTTCAAGGGGGAGTTTTCTATGGAAATGCATTTCAGAGTGGGGGTGTTTCGACTCGCGAATCCAACAACCGACTCCTTTCGCATATCGTACATCGGATATGTGACTGTGCACGTGGCCCTCGGTTTATTGGTGGGGATTTCAATCACTTCATTGATGAACTGCCGGAAGTCCAGAAGCTGCTTCAACAGGGGTGGCAGGAAGTGCAGCATCTTGCGGCTGCTAAATTCGGTCAGCCCATTCAGCCGACCATCCAACAAAAGCACACTAAAGATCTTCTGTTCCTCAGCCCGGAACTCACGCCTTTTGTTGAGTCGGATTGGGTTGCAAATCATTCTATTGTGTACGTAGTGTTGGATGTTGCAGCTTCACCACCAAGTGTTCCTATTTGGAAACAGCCGCGTCCTGTCGATTGGCAGGCATACACATGTTCGATGAACTCTGAAGAAAATCCACATGTAGGACATCCATATGCCCCCCTTGAGAAAATCCCGGGAGCATGGAAAGCTAGCCAGTACAGGCCCCTAACGGTTTTTTTCGATAGTGTATAGAACCTGGTCGTCCATCCGTTCCAAAGAGGCACTTGCTTACCTAAGTCAATTTGTTTCTGATCATGTCACAGGCAATATACCTGGCAAGTCCTGCACGGACCTATGGCTGAACATTCAGCTTCATCTTGAAGAGTGTGAAGTAGATGATGCCCCAACAGCCGGGGTCGTTGCAGACCTAGTCAAAGCATTCAACTTGCTACCTAGAATCCCCCTACTAGCAATAGGTTTGCACCTAGGGGTGGCCCAATCATCCAAGCCTGGGCAGCCGCCCTTAAGCAAATGGCACGGGCCTTCAGCGTCCGGGGCACAACGGACCGCCGCTGACCACATCCACCGGGTTTGCGGAAGGCTGTGGACTCAGTTGTGCAGCAATGCTCCTGTGCAACATCGCCTTGTCTAAGTGGTTATATTTCAGGTATCCATCAGTTAAATTGTGGTCTTATGTTGATAATCTTGAACTAACTGCTTCGAGTATTCATGAAGCCGAACGTGGCTTGCAGCTCATGACCCAGTTTTGTGATTTGCTTGATCTCCAATTGGACGAGGCGAAAACCTTCTATTGGTCTAATGATGCAGCTGACCGACAAGCAGCGCGTCAAGAGCACTTGCCGTTGCAATCCTCTGCGCGTGACCTAGGTGCCCACATGGAGTACGGTCGCCGCAAGACCAATCATGTGCTGAGAGCCAGGGTATCCACAATGCCGCAAATCTGGACTGCGCTGGCCAGATCGCCAGCCCCATATAAACAGAAAGTCCATGCCCTTCGGGTCAAAGGCTGGCCCCAAGCGCTAAGTGCAGGGGCCTCCACGTGTCTGGGCGACGCACATGTCCGTGCCCTCCGAACAGGAGCTTGTCGTGGCCTTCGGATTCACGCACCAGGCATAAGCCCCATGGCTCACCTGTCGTTAGTTGAACACCCTGCCACCGATCCGGGTTGTGCCTTGTTGGTCCAAACTGTGGCAACATTCCGTCGTCACGCAAACCTTGACCAGGTCAGTAATTTGCTGGATGTGATAGCCCATGAGCAGTACACAAGACCACCCCGTCCGGGACCATGTCATGTCTTGCTTGAGAGGCTTCACTTCATAGGTTGGGCCTGGCTGGGTCAGGGATGGGCTGTGGACCATAACCAACAGCCAGTAGCACTCCTCCATGGATCGCAAGCTGAAGTCATAGAGCGACTTTATGAAGGCTGGCAACATTGTGTGCAACAGTGTTTAACTAAAAGGAAAACATTTCAGGGCATTGAGTGGGCATCCCCAAAGTTCACGCTCGAGAAAGCTGCCGCTTACTCCAGCACCAAAATGGGGCTCCTGCGTAGGGTCTTGAATGGAACCTTTTTCACTGCAGACACCCAAGCCCATAATCATAAAGCACATACACTGCAATGCAAGTTTTGTGGGGATCCAGACTCCCAGCATCACCGCTTCTGGGAATGCAAGCAGTTCGACAAAGTGCGCCCCAACCCTTGGCTTACCGCCAAGGTGCTTGAAGGAGGACTACCAAAGTGCCTCACGTATCATGGGTGGATAGGCCTTCCCGGTTCCGTCAGAGAGCTGCATCAGGCCCTTCAAAACTGCCCGGATACTACTGATTGGTTTGAGCCACTACCATTTCAGCCAACAGACTTCTTGATGGATCCTGTGTGAATCCAACCGGAATCCAACCTGCCCATTCACCAGACTGGCAGGATGGGGACTCGTCGCGGCTCACCCAGCTGATCCAGACAAATGGTTTCCACTTGCCCAGGGAAGAGTGCCTGGACGACGCCAAACCAGTGGCAGAGCTGAAATCCTCGCTGCAGTTAGCGCTCTCCGGTATGCGCTCCGCCATGGTCACCAAGTCCGGCTGTGGTGTGACAATGCACGGGTTGTGACCACCTTGAAGCAAGCCTTGTCGACCCCAGATGCATGTAAGCTAAGTCATAAGGACCTTGACCTCTGGACAGTCCTGTGGATGCTTGCCAGATCCACCAATGGTGCCCTTGTATCCATCCATAAAATTGCTAGTTCATCAAAATAAAAGTCAAGCAAATTGGATCGAACGATGGGCCTTTACCGGCAACGAGAACGCCGACCATAGTGCCCAGTGGTCTCTTTTGTTTCCTCAGGACATCCATCACAAATGGAGGTGTGCAACTGATGACATTGCAGCAGCTCGTATCCTGAGAGATCAGGTTCACCAGAGCATGATCCGGGTCAGTGAAGAAGCGGTTTCAAGAGATCAACCTCCTGCCGCCGCAGACCCGCCCCAACAGGCGTATCCACTGCCTGTTGTTGAGACAACCATAGCCGCTCTGCCTCGTAGACCTTGTACCAGCACACACAAGCTCGTAGGAGATAATTGGGATCTCCTCACCGAATGGTCTAATAGCTTAATCCACCAGCAAGCAGCGGTGGTATTCGTTCCGTTTTTTTATCCTTTTAGTTGACTTTGTCCTCCACACGGGCAGTGGAGGCATCAGACCCTCCCATAAGTTCTCTAAATGGCACTGGACCACACAGGAAGATGCTAGCAAGTTTCCACTTTTCGAACGAACCAAGTGGTTTCGGCTGTTCCTGATTCGAATCTTTAAGCTTGAAGGAATCCCAATTAGCTCCACGTACGTCCGGCCCTCATCGCCGACAGTGGTGTTCTGGGCTCACTGTGTGAGCATCAGGTTTGCTGCGGAAAGGCTCCAACGCCTTGAACGGTTCTTGCAACGATTTCGTGCTTCGTACCTCACCGGTAGTGATTTGTCTGACATTTCACTCTAGTTCATCCGGGCAAAGGCTGCCCCCGCAACAAGCTGCGGCGCCTGCATCTTACGGAGAAACGGAGAAATGGAGGCCATCGCTATTAGGTTGCAGGCCATCGCTATTAGGTAGGAGGGCATCGGTATTGGGTTTGAGGCCGTCGCTATTAGGTTGGCGGCCATCGCTATGAGGTTGGCAGCCATTGCTAGTATAGGTTGGAGGCCATCGCTATTCGGTTGGAGGCCATCGCTAGTAGGTTGGCGGCCATCGCTATTAGGTTGGAGGCCAACGCTATTCGGTTGGAGGGCATTGCTATTAGGTTGGAGGCCATCGCTTGCTGGTAGGTTGGAGGCCATCGCTATTAGGCTGGCGGCCATTGCTATTAGGTTGGTAATTGTCGCGGTTCTTTGCTGTGATGTTGTGCGGCTTCATTCGCGCAGGACAGAGGCGAAGAGCCTAACGCTGTGGCCCGCGCTCGCTTGCAAAATGTGTTGTTCCGAAAAGATGCCTCAGAACCATGTGGAGAGCCGCATTCCTAGGCAAAAGAACCATCTCAGATTTGCAAAGCTGGAGATTTGGTCGAAAGCTGGCTGCGTGCCGCAGGTCAAGCCAGTTTTGAGGCCATGGTCCATGGTGTTGTACATTTTGGTTGAAGTTTCTAGAGGTTTGTCTCGAAAGGATAAGGATCTTCCGAAGCCACAGCTCTACACCAAGGCCCTTCAGGCGATGCCACCTTACGCAACTAAGACAATCAAATCGCAATAACCTGTGATTTTCCTTAGTTGAATTGCAAGGCCTGCCTTATGAGCAATGATTTGGACTCCGCAAGCCAACTTCTCCGACGAAGTTCGTGGCAGCTTCCAGAAGGTCATGATTTTGACACGGGTTATTTTGTCACAACATGTTCTTCCCCAGATAGCGCGAGCTATTGGGGTTCTTACTTCAAGTAATTATAGGAAGAGGTGTTTGTGTCCTGAGTGCGGGTGTCGCTACCGGGTGCTGCTGCTGCTGCTGCCCACAAACATGTTTTGTTGTCTTGGGTCTATGTGCTGGCGCATTTTGTGTTGTCTCACACAGGTGGAAGAACAGCCATCCAACTTGTGGCCCTGGCCCGACGGCTGCACGGCATATGAAGTGAGTAGATGACATGGACATTTCATGCATGAACACGGTACAATTCAAAATGGTTTGCAATTTGCAGCAGTGGTTTTCTTGAACTGTTTGCCTGACACACTACAAAATGATAGAGAACTGAGAACAGCATTTCTTGGGATTGGAGTGGTGCTTTGAACAGATTGTGTCAAGGTTGTGTTAGTTGGGCGTGAGTCGTTCGGTATATATACCTTACCTTCTTTCTAAATCTGCATGGGTTTCACGTCATATGCTGTGCCACCCCCCAGCCTCTACCTTTAACTTGAGCCACATCTCATTCGCCGACAGGCCATTTAGATCGCCAAAGGCTCACAGATGTGGGTGTTGATACCTTTTGGGCTCACACTCCAACAAAGCTTGCTAGTTGGTGCACCCCATACGCTGTGAGGCAGGTATCCCACACATGGCAATCCAACTTGCGTTTGAAGCACATCATAGCACTGATTTATTTGTAAAGCGACTTTACATCCTGATACATCCTGCTATTGAGCTGGGGGGCAAGGGGCGACGGAGTGCAAGAAGAACATCAATTGTTAACACCCTAGTAGCGATGGCCTCCAACATACTGAGCGATGGTCTCCAACCCACTCGCAATGGCTTCCAACCCAATAGCAATGGTCCCAACCTAATAGCGATGGCCTCCGACCCACTAGCGATG